TATTATTTTATTTTGATAAAAATTATCATTTAAAATAGTAACTTTTTTAGGTGATCCAATAACACCTTAACGAAATAAAGATTAATAACGACTTCGTTGATTTTTTTTCTTTACGAACTATGGGCCAAGCTTAAGGATCGTTCTGACTTATGTTAATATATGAGATCATAAATAGATAAGCAATGATAGCTGTAGAACAAATTACATTGATTTTATGTTAACATGATTGATGGACGATATTGTTCAGTATAGCTTCTAATTGTGATAGTAAACTTTTGATTTCATGCTATTATGATGACATACAATTATGCATATACCAATCAAGTGAGAGATTCGTAGATTATATGGACATGGCATATATAATTAGGAGTGTTTAACATTGGATACCCGTATTTTTAGGTACCTGAAATGTTAGATACTTAAGATTTTTGGCTACCAAGATGCTCATATCCCGACCGTTAATTCTAAGTACCCGTAAAATTGGGTATCTGCATTTTTTGGTCACGAGTATCATGTTCATATCATTTTTTTCTTTAAATTATAATATTATTTATTAAAAAATTACATAGAAAATTTTTAAAATTTAAAATCTAAAGGTCTATAATACATAAGTTACTCATAAAATTCAAAAACCGAAATTATATAATTAAAAATAAAACTTATAAAATATATAATTAAAAAATAAAATAAAATTTAAAATGTTTTAAAGTTAAAAAAATAATTTGAGAAACAATATAGATTGTTAGGGTGAAATAATTTAAAAAATAATAATTTAGAATGTTATAGTCAAATGATTAAAGAAATTAGGAATTTAAAATGTTAGCGGGAAATAATTTGAAAATTAGGAATAAAAAATCTAATATAAAATAAAAATATATATGAAATCGGATACATGATGGTGGGTATCCAATTAAAGGATAATTTGTGATACGGGCCCGACCCAGAAACCCAAAAAAATAGCGGGTCAAGTACCTAACCTGAAAAATCAGGTATTTTCATTATAAATACCTAATATTTTTAACATGGTCGGTACGTTAACGAATCAAATATTTTTGAATACCCCTATAATATAATAAGTAAATAATTGTAAGTTATTTGTATCATAAAAGGTTAGTCCATATTAGAATGATCTAATACGGTTAAGATTGATTAAATTTTAATAATTAAATAATATATAGATTATATACGTGTAGATACTCAATAACTAGTTTCTAATTGATTTCTAATTGATGATGGTCTGATTAGAAATTAAGTCTAATGGGTTAGATTATTTATTAAGGTTATGGTTCCTAAATTATCAAAACTTAAAATATCCTAAATCACTCTCCCAATATCCCTATAAATCATCTTTGCAACAATATATCAGAAGGTGTTGTTTGTTTTTCTAAAAAAAGGTCTTCAAAGCTCTTATGTCTGCTCCGTGCAGACCACGCGCAGACATTGGGCTTCGCAGACCGTTTGTTTTTTAGAAGACAATAGCTTTGAAAACGTCTGCGCGTCATCTTCTTGGTGCAGACGTGGCCTTGTGTCTTCAAAACTCTTCCAACCTCTTCAAAGAACGTTAAAAACAAAAACCCTCGCGTAAAAAACCCAATTGACTCAGCTACGAGATGAAATTGTTGAGCAATTAATGCAAAATATGGATTGATTTATTTTAAAAATTTTATTATTGTAGTTGTATGGATTATTTAAATTTCAGTTTTGTAAAACTAAAATTATTTAAATTTCAATATTGCAAAACTCTTTTAAATTTAAAAAATCAATTTATTTTAGCAGTCTGCAGACGTTAAAAAACAAAGTCTTCTTCTTGCAAACTGTAGACTTTTGGTCCACCTCTTCTGCTACAGATGCCTACAGATGTGGTCCGCAGACTGCAGACCTTTTATCTCAGCAAAAACAAATAGTACCTAAGTAATCTTTAAAGAATTACGTTAAAATTAAACTTAATTTCTAATTAAAATTTGAGTCAATATCTAAAAAAATCTCTCTAATGACACAAATTTCAATTGAAATTTGATCTTTGAATCTTCAAGAACTTAGATTCTTACTTAAGCCAAATATATGTTAAATCTTCATTGTTAAGTCTTCAACAACTTTAATTTTTACGTAATATTTGTTAAAGTACCGTTGGATTGATCAAGAATTATTCACATGCAACTACAATTAATTACAACAAAATTCGTAACAACAAATTTCTCTGAACCTTCATAATCTGAATCATTGCTTTGATATCACTTGTTATGAGCTTATAAACAAAAAATAATCAAAGTGACACTAGAGACGAGATTTAATAAGGTTCAACCTTGTCTACATCCATAAATGAGAAGAATAATAACCCACTATAAATATATAGATCACGAAAGATACAAATACAAGATATCTCATGTATTCTAAAAGTCAATATCTATACCGGAATCCAAAGTATCCCAAATCACTCCCCTAATAACTTAAAAAACTCATCTCTGCAAAAATAAACTCCAAAAGTTGTAGAGGCTACAAAAAGATTACATATCTATAAAATAATTATCTATAAAGGCTAAGACATAATTTCTATTGATAGAGACAGAACTTGATCAACGAAAATCCTTATTACATAACAATTTATAGTTAAATAAACTCAATCACTAGGTAATCTTCGACCAGTAGAGTTACCACAAAGTTAACTTAATTTCTAATTAGACCAATATCTAGCAATCTATTCCTTGACAAAAAAATTATTAGAAAATTGATCTCCGGATCTTCAAAAACATTAATTTTTATGTAAGCCAGATATTTGGTGAAGCTTCATCATCAAGTCTTCAATAACCTTAATCTTTTCGTAATATTGTTGAAGTACCATTAGATTGGTTGAGAATTACTAACTTGTGAATGAAAATTTATTGCAACAAAATTATTCTTGCATGTCTTTAATGTTGCTAACAAAATCTGCAACAACAAATGTCTCTAAAACTCAATAATTCAAATCATTGCTTTGATCACTTGTTAGGAATTTAGGAGAAAAAAATAACTAAACCGATATCAACATAAATGTATCCTAAAATCCAATATCTATATCAAAACCTAGAGTATCTCAGCACAAGAGATGAGATTTAACATGACTCAACCTTGTTTACCTCTACGGATGAGAAGAATAATAATCCAATATAAATGTAGAGATCACAAATTATACAAATACATGATATGTCATGTATCATAAAATCCAATATCTATATCAAAACCTAGAGTATCTCAAATAACTCTCATAATTGTCTCTGCAACATAAACTCCAAAAGTTGCAAAGACTACAAAAAGATTGCATATCTCTAAAGTAATTCTCTCTTATAATTCTAAATGTTAAGACATATTCTCTATTTATAGAGTTAAATACTTGGTCAACAAGAATCTTTATTCCATAAGAGTTCTTAACTAAATAAACTTAATCATCAAACAATCTTCAATTAGTAGAATTACAATAAAATCTAACTTAATTTCTAATCAAAATTTGAGTTAATATCTAACAACTTTCTCTTCTAACTTTTATTCTTGGTGGTTTGACATGACATATCTTAAACTAATTCAGATTTTATTACAAATTTATGTATGATATTATCAAATTAAACACATTATAAAATGAACATTTGTCCAAAATTTACCTCTTAAGCTCCTTATTATTATTTTTGAATTAATCACGGCTATCAAATCTATTAACTGATTAATCTAATTTGAGTTTTGTAGAGGCCCATTATGGGGGTGACCTTTTCAACCCAGTTTGCTCCAATCACAAATGGCAGAATTCGTACCCCTGACTTTACTTAAAAATTATAGCATCTCATTCCACTAGACCAACTAATTGTTGATTAAACTCCCTATTATTTGATCATAATCTCCTCCTTCCTTTTGGAACATTCATATTTATGTGTTGTTTTCACTTGGAACTACTCAAAATAGTTCTATGAACAAAGTAAGATCGACACACTAGTGTTTTTGCTATCCACATAGTATAATTATTACACTTTTGGCTTCTTGTCATGTTCCATGTCTCACCATGCTCCTCATAATTGCTTGCTCATTTCATTCGTAGGATAAACTTGAGTGTACTCTCCGTAGATGCTTGTCATGTCTCTCTACCGACCAATATTTATGTGTTGTTTTTACTTGGAACTACTCAAAATAGTTCTATGAACAAAGTAAGATCGAACACTAGTGTTTTTGGTATCACATGGTATAATTATTACACTTTTGGCTTCTTGTCATGTTCCATGTCTCACCATGCTCCTCATAATTGCTTACTCATTTCATTCGTGGGGTAAACTTGAGTGTACTCTCCGTAGAAGCTTGTCATGTCTCTCTACCGACCTTGCAGGAATATCAATATCTTGCACATCAGTTTCTAATGCCCAACTCAAACGTGATATAAGAGATATGGCAAGCATCTACGGAGAGTACACTCAAGTTTATCCTATTTATCACCTTGAGTGTGCTCTCCTCATAGTTGTTTGCTCATTTCATTCATGAGATAAATTTGAGTGTACTCTCCGTAGATGCTATCTCTCATGTCGCATTTTAGATGCAAAAATATATTATGAATAGAAAATACAATAAAATATTTAAAATATATGAGAATTTGAAATTTTTAGAAGTAACTTCCTACCGTCTCCTCCAGTCCATCCTTGCTATTTTTTACCCGAGTCAGGAAAAGGTAGCCCTAAGTGATCTTTCTTAAGACATCATCAGAGGAAAGAAGAGATGCCAAGTCAATATTTTTCGATCACATGCCAATGACCAAGAATCCCAATAAAGTAAGAAAGGGATGAACTACAAAGGGAGGACAGCATATATATTCCAAAACCAAATACTTAGAATTTGAAAAAGGTATGATTCTCTTAGATTTCCATAGGAAACCCAAAAAAGAAAATTAAGCTATTCAATTAAACCAAGAAATTCTTTTATGTAATATATAAACATGTTAATCTAATAATATTATATATGTATTGCAAGAGCCTTGATTCATATAATTTTATTCACTAATAAATAGTACTGTTTCTTTCCCAGATAAATGGCCCGTTCTTACCAAGATTTTGAGCCTGATTGCCAGTACAGAAAAGGAGAAGCTCAAGACATTATTGAATTTCAACTCAAAGGTACTATATATATATATATATATATATATATATATATATATATATGATTTGAATGGAAATTTACATATTTCAAGCAGATGAAACACTTGTTTGTTATGCAATACTACATTGATCCATTCAAAATAGTTTTCAATTCAGATTTTAAAAAAGACCAGCTGAAAGTTCACTTCGGCAGTAATGGTGTCATAACGGTTTCCGGTGAACGGCCCGTCGAAGGAGGTAAATGGATTCAATTCCGGAAGGAATTTACCACTCCTAAAGACTGCAAAGCAACCGAAATTCGGGCAAGATTCAGCTCCGGTTTTCTCTATGTAACAATACCAAAGAAGATTGTGTCTTCGCATGTTTCCCAAAAGGATCCACTTCCACCAGTGCAGCAAGCGACGACAGCATCCCCGTCGTCATCGCCTGTTCAACATCGCCAAATTGGAAATGTTACCGGCAAGAGTTCTGGCGGTGTTGCGGCTGAAAATGCTGTATCGTCTACGGCACGCCCCAATGGGTCTATTTGGAGGCTTAAGATGGAGGGAAAGACAGCAGTGATGATTGGAGCAAGTCTGGTGATAGTGATCGGACTGCTGTTTGTTGTGTTGTTTTATGTGTTCAAGTATTATGATCCCATGAAGAAGAATGTTTAGAATTTATTCAAATCCTTTGAATTGATTCGTTTCAGGTCTTTGATGCCAAAAAAAAAAAAAAAAACTGTTATTGATTGCTCAATGGAGCAAAGCTGAAATTAAATTGAATGGATTATCCTAACATCCTGATGTATTGACCTCATATATTAATTTGTTGGATTGCATTTGTATACGGAAACTTTATTGAAATTATGAGTTTGAGTTTTTATGTATACATAAAATTTTTGTTAAAAGACTTACACACCAAAATCAGGTGTATGACCCAAGTCGATTCGGATTAGTTATAACGAATCCTTTTGGAAATTTGAGAGGAAAAAAACTTTAGTGAAATTCATTAATTGTGACCATTAATCTTAAATTTTAATAGATTTATATCTCAAATAAACAAATTACATATTTAACCACTTATATTTTTTAACTTTATCATTTTAATCATTAAATAATAATTTGAAAATTCCATCACAATAAGAAAAGGTTAACACAAGAGTAAATGAAAATTCCAATCCAGTCCCTTCAAACTGTTTTATTCTTTAAAATGCTAAGCCTTCAAATCATTTCCCCCATGAATGAAAAAGCTTCAATCAGGGCAACGGCGAAAATCATCCCTAACAAGACATGGAAACCTGTGGCCTTGGCAAATAATGTTGAAGCAGTGCTGGGAGCAGGAGCCGGGGCACGGTCTAGCACCGTGATCTTGAGCTTCATCCCTCCATCACAATGGCCACTGATGCCGCAAATGTACCATTTGGTTCCGGTGTTTGCCAACTTAATCGTGTCGTTTCCGGTGAATGAGCCCAAGCTGTTGTTTGATGGAACAGTGCAGCTTTTGAATTCATCTCCTGCCACTTTGTACACATTGTGATCTCCACCCTTGTACTTGAAAACTGCAACAACAACAAAAATAAATAAATAAATAAATTATAAGATCGTGAGTTTGAATTTTGATATTGTGAATGAAAAAAATTAAGTTAAGAAGGTCGTCCCATAATAGGCTTCTACAATATATGATATGAAATAGTTGATCAATAGATCGAAAACCAACAGTTGAACCAAAATAAAAGTCTTATTTGATCACTCACCTATTACTTAGTTTCTGTTTTGATCACCCAACTATATTTTTTTTTCAAAATCATACACAATGTTACATTTTGGTTCTATTTTGATCACCCACCGTTAAAGAATTAAAGATGATGTTGACGCGACATTTTAATTATTTTTCAATACTGACATGACATTATCTTATGGTGACAAGCCAGTACCACCGTTATTTTTTAACTACGGGTGACCAAAATATAATCAAAATGTAACGTTACGTATGATTTTAAAAAATAATAGTTTGATGGTCAAAAAAGAAATTAAGTAATAGGTGTGTGACCAAGTTGATAGTTTACCTAAAAAATAAATTGCAATATCATGAATTTGAATCCTAATATTATAAATGAAAAAAAATTGAGTTATCGCTTAATAATTGGCATTTACAATACCCAAATTAGTGGTTAAAAAAAAGAAAAAGAGTAAACTATCTATTTAGTCACCCATCTATTACTAAGTTTATGTTTTAGTCACTCAACTATTATTTTCATACCTAATATTATATTTTGGTTCTATTTTGGTCACTCACCGTTAAAAAAGTAATGGTGACACTGTCGTGACATTTTAATTGTTTTTCAATGCTGACATGGCATAATCTTATGGTAACATGTTATTACCACCGTTATTTTTTAACACCAGGTGACCAAAATAGAACCAAAACGTAACATTATGCATGTTCAAAACAAAAATTAAATAATAGGTGTGTGACAAAATAGATAGTTTACTAAAAACATATATAGACATAAGTAGGGAAAAAGAAAGTTTAAGGGATGACAAAGTTTACCAAGAGTGTCTCCAACAAAGAACTGCTTGTCTTTAGCCCAATCATCGTACTTAACTCCTAGTTTCCACCCATCATCGCCGCCGACGATGTATTCCATAGCCGACGAGATCACCGGAGACATCAAAGCAACAATTGCAAAATTAACTAATGAACGATGAACGGCCATTTGATTTAAGCTCTTATGGCTATGATGTTTTTGTTTTGTGGGTGTGTTAGGCTGGTCAAATGCCGTAGGTGAAACTAGGTATATGTAGTGTTGAAACCGAGTATTGGTTTCAAAAGAGTACAAGAATAAAGGCAAAAGCTATACACTTTTTTAATAGTTTTTGAAATAAAATTATGCCTTGTATTCAAGGACGTATTGCCGGATTGGTAATGGGACAATTTTCTGATTTCTAGAATTAAATTTTGCTGGATTATCTATGGAGTTTGGAGATGATTACAATATGTTATTAGAATTAATAATATAATTATTCATTTTTATTGAGGTTTAAGATATTGAGTTTACTGAGAGGATGGTTTAATTGGTAAGTAGCTTAATATAATTTAAACATGTCTCAAGTTTGAGCCTTTATGTAAAAAATCTCCACTGAGAGACTCACCCACCAAAATCAGGTATACGACACAAGCCGATCCGAATTAACGAGGGCAAAATCGTGTGAACCTAGAAGGCAACAAAAAAATTATTGACTTTGATATAGTACCATTTGAATTAATTAAAGTTAACTATAATTTATTGGTAAGTATTAAGAATAATGAAAATACACATGATATAACCGTTAGTATTTGATTTATTGGTTGACTAATTTAAGATAAATACTGCATAAGATCATTATGAATATGATTTTCTCAACCCAATTTGCCCCTTCATAATATTAAGATTTATAGTCATATTCTTGTTTAAAAAACATAATGTCTGAACCCATTGAGTGACCTCAGTGGTTAAAGAAGTATTGTTCTCCTTTGAGGTTATGGGTTCGAACAACTATATATGTAGGATATGTATACGTTGTCAATAGTTAAGAAATATTATAAACATATATTATCTTGTAATCATCTCAGATTATTAATGAAAATATATAAAGCCTCGTCTGAATTTTAATATAATTATGATTTAGTTAATTTTATAATATAATTTAAGTAATTCTCAAAGTCAATCGTTACCATCAATGGCGAATATCCAAATTCAAGAAGAACAAAACTACCACTAAAACCCAAACCCTAAAGTTTCCACTATTCTTTTTCTCCAAACGTATTTTGTTTTGTATTTTTTTCACCACTGAAATTTAAACTAAAAAATACAAATCCCTTAAGCCATTAATTACGAAGTGCATTTTTTAGCTAATTATTTCTGTAAAAGTTTCATAGCAACATCAAAAGAAAGACACAAAAAGAAGAAGAAAAATATTAGAGTTGTTTAAAGAAAATGGATAACTAATTAAAACTCAATATTTTTAATGTTGTGAACTGAACTCGAAGAATGACCTTAGACCTAAAGAAATATTAATTCTTTTTAAATGATCCGAGTTTGACTAACATTATTTACAAAATATGTGTAAGTTTTATCCAAGACTAAAAACGAGGACAAATACTAAATTGAGTCTACCAAGACTTTTTATATCATTAACGATTTAAAATAATTTCCCACAATAAAGTGATGGGAAAATATATAATTTAAGTATATAGATTAAATCCTAAATATGATAGCAATACAAGGACTATATTCAAAATTTAACATAGTATTTTAATTTTTTTATTTGATTAATCTAAGTACAAAATATTATCTATTTAAAGATAACTTTCAACCTTTTGAGAATATACGCTCACACTACTAACATTCATAATACTCGAACCTAAGATCTCAAAAAATAATAACAACTCATTTATCATCAAAGTGGATTTGATTATACAACTTAATATTCCGATTAGTAATTAGTTTCGCCACCTATGGGATCCAAATCTAAAGCCCATCGAAAGCTGAGTTCTGTACAAACTTTATTTTTACTTCATTTATTGATTCTATGCGTTTTGCTTTGAAACTATCAAAGTTTTTTTTTTTGAAAGGAGTGGTTTCGTATACTTTAAAATAAGAGAAGCATATAAAAAACGGACACACTGGAGGGCCTCATTAAAAAACCTCCCTAGAATCTATTTGGAAGAAAAAGAGTGCACCTTCACGTGTCAAAAAATAACAAGTAATATTGACCCCGACCTTATTGGGACTACACAATTACAACGAAAGCACTCGAGTACAAATTAGAACACAAGTTGAAACCAACCAAGTAAATAAAACAACTGAAACAAACTAAGACCTTAGGCCACATTAGGGACACATACTGCAGTAATTCAATCTAGCATCGAACAAAAAGCATCGAGATAAAACCACTAGGACCAGTAAATCACCTCCAATGCAGCAATATCAACACTCCATCTAGGACTAATGCGCACACTGCATTGGATAAAAAATAGATTAGCAGTTCACCGATCCAACTACACCCTAAACAGAAAACACAACTGTACGAGACAGCCCAAGCAGCATATCTGAACCAGAAAATTGATGCATTCACTACCACCTAGATAAAACTTACATACCTCGATTCAAGAACAAATACAACCAAAACAGAAGGAAAATTATGAAAAAGCAGCCCCTACCATCAGCATTCGACCAAAACAAGAGAAAAATAACAAAACTAGAGTGACCATCACCTCGACAAAATCACACAAGACTAGGACAACAACACCAATCAAATTTCATTGAATTATAGATGAAAAGAACTATACACACACTAATGAATGGTAAAATCACAAGAACACTTATTGTAATATCCCAAATTGGGGCTTGTGACTAAAATAGAAATTTTGAAACTTTGAAGTCTGATTTTGAAATATTTAAAAGTTCGAGGATTAAATTGTAATATTTAATAGATGTTTGTTGGTAATTATTAAAGGAAATAAAGGGTAAAAGACCAGAAAGATTTTTATCTTTCCTTTTAGGCTATAAAACACGTGGAAAGGGTGAAAAAGAAAAGAAAAGTCTCGAACTTGGTTATCCCAATCCTCTTCTCTTCCCGTAAGCTCCATGGCAAAGGTAAGTTTAATTCTTGGGGTTTAAGCTTAGTTTTGATTCTTGGGGTGTTAAGAAAGATTATTTAGATATTAAAGTATGTTGAAACTCCAAAATGGATAAGTTGTGAAGGATTAAATATAAAGAGTTTTTAAGTGAATTATTGAAATAGAACGAGTTAATAGATTTTGAAGTTGAATTTAACTTGTCAATGGTTAAATTAAGACATATAAAGGGTTAGAATTGGATTTAGAACATGTTGCAAATTGGGTGTAATTCTTGAATTACATATGGAATATAGGATTTTGAGATTAGAGGGGTGATGAATGACTTCAAATGGGCTTAAGTATGTGTATTTGAGTTTAGTATATGAAACATGATAGAACATGAAGAATTAAAGTTGAAAAGAATGAATTTTCGTGCATAAATTGGAATTATGGGCTAGTGTGCATCGGTACATATTCAACATGTACCGATGCATCAAGGGTAAATTTCCAGAAATTATTCAGTGTGTATCGATGCACAGGAAGTGCATCGATGCACCCCTTAAAATAAAAACATCGAATGTAATTTGTGTATCGATGCATAGGTAGTGCATCGATACACTGTAGTGTGTACCAATGTACTTCAAGGGGAAATAGAAATAGACCTTTCTTTTGGTCTAAGAAATGATAGATTAGAGTATATCAATTGGATATTGATATGTATCAATGTATGATTATGTAGATGTCGAGCACAAACATGTTCCGGGATGACTATCAAATTAAGATTCGATCGAAAGAAATGAAATCATAAAAGGGGATTGGAACTTAGTAGGGCCAAGATAAGTCTATTTCCGATAGTAGTACATGAAACATGTGATTAATATGAAATGTATGTATGCTTGATTGTATGAGTGTATATGTACTATGTGATCTATATGAATATATGGTTATGTAATAAAGTATGTAATAATAGTATGCTATTGGAGCAACTTGATAATAAGTCATAAGATTACATGCATATGTAACATAAGTTATAAGATAAGAAAATATGTGCTTACATGTATTTGAGGATATATATATGAATAAGATATGATATATGTTTATGTAGAACCATGCAAAGTGATATGAGAAGTGAACTACACGATTATGTGATTATATGAGAATGAGATAAAGAGCCATGTGATATATGACATGAGATAAATGAAATAGAAAGTATATGTAATACGTGAGAGTGAATCATATGATTATATGAATATGGGAAATGATATGATAAAAGTTATGAGCATATGAGATATGACTATGTGAAACGATGTAAAGAGAATGCCCATGTTATGTGTTATGAGATCTAGAGATATAGTTGGCATGCCAAAAGTCGAGGGATTATCAGTGGTCCTTCGGGACATGGTGGTCCTTCGGTACAAAGTGGTCCTTCAAGACATAGTGGTCATACGGGACAAATTCTACGCGCCTCTAGTGGGAAATTTACGAGCTGTGGTGACAACATAGTGTACAACCTCTATGTACTCACGTATCTTTAGCTCTCAGAAATGTGCATGGGCTAAAAAAAGAATAACAATAAATATATTACATGTGATGCATATGCTTTTGTGAGATGAATTGTATTATATGATTTTAATGATGATATGTGTATTGCTTGGTTAAATGAGTCATATTGGTTAAAACGTTAAGTACAAAAGGATATGATTACAAGATATAAATGATAATCATATTGATAGTGAAATAAGGTTAATGATGGAAAGGATGAATGATGTGTATATGTGTACATTTGATTATACGCAATGTTATATTATTTTGTGTGATAGCATGGTATGATATGTTCATGCATGGTTAAGAAGTTAGAGTTTCTCTTATAAGTTTAATGCCTCACTAAGTCATCGACTTAGCGTGTGAGTGTTTCACACGTAGGTTCTAGAAATGAGAAGAGAAGCTAAGAGGAGCAAGACATGTCAGAATTCTCCATCCTAAAGATCAGATCAGAAAAGCATTTTAAATTATATGTATTTTGTTTTATTAAAATGTAGTTGGCATGAAAGATAAACAATTTGAATTACATATGCTCTGATAAGTTTGTAAACTTTTATTTTGAAATAATATAAAGCTTTTTTT